AATGGACCTTTTGTTGAGTTCATTAACCATACAGACTGCGTAGTAATTTAGACTGATTAGCCAGACACTCAGGAATCTGCTGGCTAATACATGGTGTATTTTTTTGTCCTCGCAGAAAACACGACTTTATAACTAGTCACAAAAATCATTTAATTAGCGACAAATTTCCAGGGGTCCTGTAAACTACGCCCCACTGCCTTACTGAGTAGCAAAAACAATACCACATGTTGCGATTACATTGATGGCCATCTGGTCCAGTGTGGCGGTGTCCCTCCACTGACAGGGTTATGTGTTGCATGTGTTTGTGGCGCCAAAAAACGTTTACCCACCCTTCCTGAAGTAAAATATATAACACAAGCCCTCGAGCACCGCATAATACTTTTATTTATTGCCATAGTACCTACCAACGTGCAATTACCCGTAATCGTTTAAAGTTATTAAAAACTTCAATATAAAACTCTATAATAATACAATTGATCCGCAAAAAGGTCTATAATTTTGTAAAAAAGATAATGTGTGCACGCACGAATTTTAGAAATAAGGCCAATTATCCAAAAGACTAGTATATAGAAGAATCGCACCCGGATGATCGATACGTTTGAGTGATCATCCCCAAATCTAGATACCGTATAGTAATGGTAACCTTAGGGGGCTGATCGAAGAGAAAATTATTTTTGTTATAAAACGTGCCAAGTAATCAAACTGAGGTGGGCCCATTGTTACCATTTCAGAGTCATGCTGTGATTTAATATAAAAACACATGTTTCCATTAATTTTATAGAAATTGTATTGTGGTTGGAATTATGAGATCTCCGGGTGGTAAATTTGCATCAATGTTCATAATCATACAGAAGTTTGATAAAATAACATGTTATCTACTTTCACTATGCGTATCAATAATCATTAAACTATGAATATTTACAGTAAATAATATATTTATTATTGTACACAAGTGTGTATTGAAATTTTGATGGCTTTTGTCGCCACCTGTTGTTGTTATACATTATATAGTTATATTCATAAAATAAAGACGGCCGGTGTTGAAACAATATTTGAAGGGTCGTATCGTTTTACATGCTGCGGGCCCTCTCAGAGCGTGTTGTAATCAAAGATAAAAACATAAAAATAAAAAACAAAATAGAAGGGGGAATCGTGAAAATGAAAATTTTAACAACTGAATATGTGATTACTGCAGACGACCGTGTACAGACGGTAGCCAGTTACTAATCATCTCATACAATTTTCTATCCATTAATGGTGTCGATAATTATATACGTGTGGACGTTCCAACACATATATATCTTATTCAATTAAAAAAACCATAACTATTATTGACTTATACTCTTAATGTTATTATTTAAGAACTGGTTTCATCAGTACAATGTTTGATATTTCGAAGAATTTAATCCACAAAATTAAGACTAAAATGTTCAAAATATTAAAATTGAACAATTTTTGCAGTTAATTACATATTAAATATCTAATTTATTAAATTTATACAATATAAAAATTTATAATGAATTCAGTTTTTTTTTTCGTGGTATCGAAATGGTTTAAACATTTAGGTAGGTTTACTTAATGTCTTAATCATTATTGTTCGGTAATTAAATAACAATTAATATTTTTATTTAAACGGTTTTGCATAGTATTATATTGTAGTAACTAGTAAGTACATGGTACCTAGTATATTAAATGTATGATTTAACCAAAAAAAAAAGTGTTTTGCAATTGAAAAATACAATATAAAGAAGTTCATTTTCTTTTTAAAACCCTATTTTAAAATCTTAAATTTCAAGTAGTGCACGTTTGAAAGTAATTGGCTACTCTACCACAAAAGTCACGACGAAAAAACGTTATTCTCACGGAAATATAGCGGACAAGAATAAAGTTTGTGTATCATTCTAAAGTTAATATCAAAAAATCCATTAATTTTTAATTTATGTTCACCGCATGGTAAATTATATATTATTTATTATAGAAAAAAGTATGTATTTATTAGTATGATAGTATAATATACCAAATACGCATATACTTATAAGCGTCGGATATCAACATAAAAATAGCATTATTGGGGGTGGATATTATTTGAATAATGACTGTTATTTTTTCAATGAAATAATGAGATTCGTTTTTCTGCTATATTATTCCAAAGATATTATTTTCTATATTTTTGGTATTTCGTGACATATCATTTAATTAAAAATAAAAATGAATGGTAAGTAATTTTTTCTTGATCACGAATCAGAGAAAGTATAAGTAGAAAACAGCTCTTTTAATCTTGTTATAAAACTTCAGATGAACGAGGAACGTCACGAATCGGCGGCCGTGAGGAACGTTTTGTATAGAGAAATTGCACAGTAATGCGCGATTTCGTGGGAACTCATAAGAATTGTTTATAAACGTTTATCAGGAGTTAAGACTCAAAACTATTACCCCATTTTATTTGAGGTCATAATTTATAAAACATTTGTATATATTGAACATATACCTACATAAATATTTATTTTTTTTATTTTTATTGAAACCTTAGTTATACTATTAGGTTCGACAGTTACAAAGTATACAAATAAATATTTATATGGAACAAATTGCAATATAAATAAATTTGGTTACCTAAATTTTAAATTATTTTATACAATATAATTATTTAAATTTTAAAATAAAAGTACACAAATTCTTTAAGTATAGTCATGTCAATAAATATATTTATCACTGAAATATACACAGAGCAATAGTAAAAACAAAAAAAACAATAGCTGTATAATAACGATATCGTGTCATAATATATGTTATCAACGTATTATACAGTAAATATTTATTTTTTATTTTTTTTTTTTTACTGAGTGTAGCAAAAACAAACCGATACTGCAACTAGGTCACCTAATGCAGTATCGCAATCTACAAAACCATTTTCCATAAATAGGTTTTGTTTAGTATAAATTAATTAAAAACATTTTTTAATTGTTACTGAATATCGTATTACACAAGTATAAAGCTCTGATTCTAATCATATATTTTTTATACGTGTAATAGGGTGTTTTATTTATTTTCTATAATATAACTATTATAAGTTAATTTTTTGTTTTACATTTAGTATTACAATTTTCGCTATATGGCCTGAATAGAAAACGCTACACAGAAGAAAGAAAAACAGATAGGTGTAGCCACGTACAAGTACCACTCTAAGTACTAAGTAGGTGCTCATATTTAAACGTGCAAGATTATTATTATAAGTACAACAATATTACTCTGATTGACCGGAACTCGAAGTATCCCAAACAATACACAATACAATTATTATTACTTTATAAGCCACACAATTGCCAGTAGTTACAGGAAGTCTCATTAATTATTATAGTTTTATATAATTATTATTAAATAAATTTATCTGCAATGAAATTTAAATGGCACGCGTTTTGAGTTAGTCGATACAATTAGTTTATATGTCTTTAAAATATGCAAACGCACTATAAATATATAAACAGCCAAAGAATGAAACGTTAATAGAAAATAAGCTAGTCAGCAGTTGTTGAACAATAAATGTATTATGTTATTATTATTGTTCCAAAATCGTAAATAACAACTTATTTCACTTACCTACAAGAATATCTTTTTTTTTTTTTTATCAAGAATTTGTGATAATAACGCGTTCTCTACGGGCGCATTATTTTCTTAATTTATTTTTTGTGTGTGATGATAAAAATTGTCTTAAAGTAAAAATAAAAGACTAGAAAACTGGTTACATCTAACGATCGGATAAATATCATGCCGAATTTGGCAAAACACATAATTCTGGTTTATATCTTATCTGTATCTGACTATATTTTTTCATTGTCAGTTATAATTAAAACACGGGGGAGGGAATGTATTCAACAGGTTGGTCCGTTTCAAGAGCTTTATTGGAACCAGTTTTGCGCACATGACCTAATTGAAGTAGAAAAAATGGTATTCGATCCAGTAAAGGAGCGAAACCTAATTGGCTTTAGATAGAATAACATAATATATTGTATTAAAATAACATTGATGTATCATGGTATACAATGGTTAACTGATTTTCATAAAAATGTATTAAAAATAATTTTTACATTGTGTTACTATGTTATTATGTATCAATGTTTCATTTAATTATATTTGATCAGTTAGAGTTAAATGAATAAATATAATCAAATAATATTAATATATTCAGATACATTATAATCGTATTTATATATTTCCCCTTGACATGTGTTGAAGTTTTAGGATTAATTATCATAAATAATTTACATTATAATAATTTTACTATGTCATCAACTAATTTACAAGTAAAAATACCATGCAAAATGTCACAATGTAAATCAATATAAAATAAAAATCTGTTCTATTCAAACATGATTGAAACGAATCTAAACATTTATATTTGTTATCATAATGATTTTTTTACAGTATGTTATACTATAAATTATGAATATATTCTATCGAAAAATGCATAATATGTTTATAATATTGACTAGTATGAGATGCGAATACAAACACACTAATTGTTTCTTTTCCTAATCTTTAAGATTACATAAGACAAATGTATTGACACTAACAACAATATTGACAGTATAAATAAAATCAATTATATTTTAACAATGATGTAGATTTAATTCGTATAAAAAAAAATATTTATACTGTAAATAATAAATTGTGTTTAAAATTAAAAGATTATTGCGTTTATTGTATTCAAACATTTAGGTGAAAATAAACCACCAAATAAAATACTGCGACTGTAGCATCATCACGACAATAGTCATTGATCTTACAGTCAGTTGACGTTTAAAGATACGTTTGAGAGATTTTTATTGATTTCCGGAAAGTACTCTGATTTTAATCAAATCATTCAAACACGGAACGTCTGCGTGTAGATCAAAATCCGTTTCAAAATCAGTGTACTACCTTTAGTGTCTACTTTATGTCTGAATATATTATCATTATAATATGTCATAATGCGACGAGCGCAAAGTACAATATTATCTTACCTTCCGCTCCAATCACAACTGTCGGACGCACGTGATGCCGTCGCCAGGGCCAGCAGGAAAAACGGCACCAGCAGCAGAATAGTAGTCGTCGTCGTCGTCGTCGTCCTCGTCATCGCGAAAACGTAACGAGTACAGCGCGACGGATGGCCCGCGACACCACCGCCGCCGCCGCCAGGCCAAAGTCGCGAAATCGCGGCGGCGATCATTTTCTCGATGGTTCGCCCGCGCTTTTGTACCGATATTTGTATAGCCACATAGGTTTACGTTCGGGTTGACTTCTGCCACCGCACACCCGCGATACGCGTCGGACGAGGAAAAAAAAAATGTGAATAAATATTCAGCCAAGGTACAAAATCCAATCGGGATCGGTCAAAAACGGTCGTAATAAATAATGATTTTAAACCGACCCGAAGATGTGCGCACTGCAAGAACACGCCGCCGCACGGATAAAAATATATACGCGCGAGTTGAACTCGTCGGGAAGACGATAAATTAACGACAACGTGACGTCGGTACAGAACACTTCCAACACGAGTGGTTGCCGTCGACAGACTGACCTCGTCTGCAGTGTTGTTGAATCGTACTACGCGTCGCCACTTGCCGCCGTGTCGTCGCCGCTCTCGATCGGTCGCGCTCATATCGAGACCAAGAGCGCGCGCACGAGCGCGGGCACAAATCCCCACCCTCACCACAACCCCTTGGGGCCGCCGCAGACGATTGGGTTTATTAGGACGAGCACAGTATAAAAGCCGAACCGGTTTGCCGCCGCAGCTTGAGGTTTTGTGCCGCGGGGTTCTACACACGTTTCCACCGGACTCAACTCTACTCAGCGAGAAACTAAAATAAAAATAATATTACAAAAACGCACCCCGGCGGCGGAACTACGAAAAATCGTCCCCTCCGGCTTGAAGCTGACCCAACGACGTGCTACGGTCAGTAAAACAACCCTCGGGACAGGTTGATTTAGTGTAAATAGGTGTGTACTATATAGGTAGTACCTACGTGTGTATAAATATAAGGATATAGTGTGTAATATACCTATATACATGGGATACATCTTTAGGCTATAGATTTGGCAGGAGTCCACGGTGTTGTGTGGAGAGGGAGATTGATGGGCGATGCAGGTTTGGTGTATTATTACGTGACTGTTCGTGGAAATAATTGCAACTAAATACTATACGTTTTTACTACAAAATATTATTTATTACATTCGATATATGGTGCACGTGATTAGTAAGACACTACAATGTGGAGTGGTGCCACATAATTTCACTAACAATATTATTATTAATATCAAGCGAAACGAATACCAAGTTACACCCCAATACAGATCAATGTTCGTCTGTTCAGTGTACGAATAGCCTAGGTACCTGACTACTTTTATAAGAATATAACATGCTGTATGTCTTATGCTTGTGTGGTATGCTTAAAACTTAAAAGTATAACTAATTGTCTAACTTTACATCTGCTGTAGTCAATGTCCTGTTTACAGTTTCAACGATAACAAAATATATCCATTCAAAATACTGTGCTTCGATTTCAGAATAGTATAAAATGTACATTACCTACACTTATTATTTAGAATGTACTTAATTTTCGGTTTTTCGCCATTATACATTCTTTGTTAGTTTTCAATTTATATGTATATTTTTATAATACCTACGTGATCTGTCAGATTTTTGAAAAATGTTTTAAAATAAAAATAGAATTATTTATTATACAATTTAAAAATTAGGTGATAATATTATTTACATAAAGTACCTCAGAATAATTATCCAACATATTTTATAATAAAATTGAATATACCCACATAGATTAATTATTTAAAAATACATTTTGAAATTTCATACGAGTATACATCAGGTATAAAATGTATAACGTCGTCTGTGGTTGACTCCATAGGAGGGCTGTGCATATTCAAAATATGTAAGTAAAATATGTTTAAAAAAGGTAGAAAAATGAATATAGTATTGTATTTTCATCGTATATTAATGAATAATTATTATTATAGGGTCAAAATTATGAATTATAGATTATTCTATGAATAAATTATTTAAAAATTACGTTATATAACTCAATAAGTCTAACTTCTATAAGTTTGCTTATATTCATCAAAATTTCAAAAACTATTAAAATTATTTTGGATTTTGAAATATGATAAATATTTTAATGTATAGTGCCTATATATTAGTATAATAATATGTATTCATTCATTATTATTTATTGACGTCATTTTTTATAAATATAATATATTTTGGTAGTATGGTTGTTGATACTTATTATTAATATATTTTTTTCTGTTTAAAAAATATTGTATTTGAGTTTTTTTAATATTAACTATCAAAATTTAATGATTTTTAAACAGTTAAACGTGTTAATAATGTATTGGTTTTTTTCTGCAATATTAATAAAGTGCATTGCGTGACCTTTTTCTTTTAAGTTTTATCGGTAGATTGTTCAGAATGCTGTTAATAGCGGACTTTAAAATGGAACTTTTAATAATTGATGGTTTAACTATAAATTATAGTATTTGTAATTTATTCTTGATCATTATATCGATTTATTTTGTGAATAAAATCTTAGAAGATTAACTTGATATTATATAACAAATACTAAGATATAATATCTTATTTTGGATATTGAGCTATATTTATATTACATATATAAGTATAATATCGCTCAAATAATATGAATCTTGATCGAATGATACGTTCGATCATCAATTTGATTATTATTATAATCGAATTAATTGTTAAGGCATATAAATATTATATAATTACCGTAAATTTATATTATGGATATTATTTATACTAGGCTGATTCAAACTAATTAAACTGTTTAGTTTCACTTGTGGACGCAGTTAATTTTTTTTTTAAATTAACGAACTCGTATATTATTAATTTGAGTTTTGTATAATTTAAATGAGATCAACATTAATTTATAATACGTATTTTTAATAGTTGTCTTTAATAAAAATGCATCGTTTTTAAGTATGAAATATTATAAATATATCTATGATTAAATACACAATAAAATGTTTTCGTATTTAATTTTACATGCAAAATATTGGTTGTTTTTATTTTGTTTCCCACTTATGAAATATGTAATTGAATAATAATATTATAATACATTATATGATGATCTATATCTAAATTAAATTTTTAGTTGTTATATATCTGATGTAAGTATTATAGCTAGGTAATTTTAATATCATTGTAAAATTCATACTTACGGATACTTTAATTTTATTCGTTGTTAATAAATTCTTAACGAATCCCCTACAGTTTCTTAGGAATTTAGAAATACAATTGTATTCAATTTTATTTATACTAATATTTACAATTTCTCACTATAACCTCTAATGACTACTAAATTAGTGTATCTATAAACAAATTATTCCATTAGGTTAGTTACATATACATTGAATTATACGAGTACCTTTTATGTCCTTTTAATAAAATATTAAAAGTAAAAATGTAATAAAATAAATAATAGTAATACTAACTAAAATTATAAATTATAAGTGATCTTAATTAATATGAAAAGAAGCTAATTATATACAAATTTAAATAAAACTATAAATTATATTTATTTTTTAAATTTAAATAATTTTAAAGACCAAAATTTTTTTGTAATAATATGTTATTCTGTTGAAAATAATTTTCATATGAAAACAACAATTTTAATTCATTTTAAAATCAACATAAGAGTCAACAGATTTAATTAAGTATGACGGGAATAGCTATAATTTAAAAGAATAAAGTAATTTAAGATGCATAGTACACCTATGTAAATGTAAATGATTATTTTATTTGAATCACTTTAAATGTAAAAAAAAAAAAATAATATTATTCTATAATAATTGATATTCCAATTGTAATTATTGTTTTTAATTTTATTCTAAAACTATACCTTAAAAAAAATTATTTTTACGCATTCGACTGTATTCTGTTAAATTTATCATGATTACAATTTTATCAGACTAACCACTCAGTTATTTTTCCTGTTTTGCTAATAAGTTTTTGTGTACCATAATTGGCACATTTAAGTGTTTCCCAAAAAATGTCTTATGCACGTTATTAGGTTCACGCATAAAAACGATTTAAATACAGAAAAATATTATGTAGCTGACTAGACAAACAAATTTTTAATAAGCCATTTGAATATTTTATATATTAAAATTCAATTAGATAAAAATACATGTGTTTTAATGGATAGCTAGCGATTAAAGAATAAATAAAAATAATTATAATAGAAAAATACTATTAAACCTTAATGGGTAAAAAAAAATATATTTTTTTACTTTTAATTTTATAATTATCTTGATGATATCGTTAAAAAAAATAATAATGAATGTTTTGAAGTAATTAACATAATTATATTAATGATTTACTTTCGGAGAACACGATTTAGATTGAACCCAATTCTATAAGTATTAGGTATCTACCGGCTATCACATTCAAAATAAATTATTATTTACGTAGTTCATTATAATTTTTAAATTTATTTACAGCTCTAAAAATTTTAACTCTGAGAACTGTCATATTACATAAAACACGGTTGTCAGTCAGATTTTATTATTTACATATTTTGGTACATAAATTTATAAATTTATACAAATATGAAAACTAATAGGAAATTGAATAATGTTTCATGTATAAAAATTAGTTTTGGCTTTTCAGACTTAAATCACACCTGAATATTTTCAACAGTCTGGACACTTTTTTTTTAATTAAAATTAGTCTTCGAGCAATAGGTTTTTTTATATTATATTTTTTTTTTTTTTTTTTTTTTTTTTTTTTTAACAGACTTAAATCAGTTTCACAACTTTTATTATAATTTAAATATATATATATATATATATGTATTTACGTTTGTAGATTCCCAGGTGATAAATATGTCAGGATTAGTATACTGTTTCACACATCGTTCAAACATTCCACCAATAGCGACAGGGTCTTATACAGACCCAGCGGTACAAGTACAAAACATTTCTTCCTATATAAGTAAATATAATATATATATTATATAGAAACGAATTTTATTGTGTTCCGCTTATAATTCCAAACAACCCTTTTGCTGGGATGAAGTCATTGTTGACCCTTATACACTAACATTAATAATATGAACACAAAAGAACATGTTTTTGTACACAAATGCTTTGGTCACCGTAACAAATTTGGATAATCGTTTTGGAAACTAGGTCATTCGTTTTTCGTTCACGAAAGGTATACTCGCATTCGGGACTGATATTGTACAAAGGGAGTGAAAGGGACGAACATTATACAAATAATGATACAATTGAATTTGTTTTAACGACCGATGTACCTAGATGTAGCATGAACATAAATAACATTGATATATAATATATTTTATTGTGCGTAGGTAGGTACATTTCGAAAATTTTATTATTGTTGTGAATGTTGTGATACTTCACATGTAGTGTAAGTGCCCACTGTCCATATCCATTGGTCATCGTATACAGAGTTTACAGGATTCTTTCAATGAAGAATCGACTGACGACTGTGTATTAAATGGGCTTAGGAAAAAAAATTTGAGTTTATCTACATTTCCTCTCCCGGTT